ACATGACATAGGGACCCATCCTCCGCTGCCTTCTCAGACCTTAAACCCAGAGCTGGATCAGAAGGTGGGGCAGTGGGGGCTAGAACTAGCACCCTTACGGGGTGCCAGCATCAGCAGGCGGAAGATTAGTCTATTATGCCACAACACTGGCCCCCAGCCTTCAAATTTTTAACCCGATTTTGACATTGTGTAACTAACATGACAAAACCATATGGCATCACCGATCAAAAGGACCACATTCTTTGGGAGTAAGATCCAAACTCTTCATGCCAACACTTTATACTGTTCATTTCTCAGTGGAGTTACTCCACCCAACTTGTAATTGCTCAAGCATCTCTGTACTTTTTCAAATTTATTGAGAGAACACTCTTACTGACTGATTACTGACCCAAAATATCTGCAGTGACCAGACAGCCAGAGCAGGACCCAGAGAACTAGGTGACAGGAACCCGACACAGGCCATCACCTGCTGCCCAGGGTTTGCATCAACGGGCAGCTGGACTCGAGTTGGAGCAGGAAATGGACTGGGACATCCCAACAGCTGGGCAAATCACTCGCCCTCCCCTTCTGCCCTGTAATGTCTGCAGTGTCATGGAGCTCTTTTTTACTCTTCACCTCTTCTTTCACTTAAAATTCAGCTTCTTCTAAGACTTGACCTAGATGATTGCACTTGACTTTGTGTCTAGACAACATTCCACGCTTGTGTTGTGTTAGCTGGGAATAAAAAAACATGAGTAAGACCAAGTTCCTGCCTGGGCCCTTACATTGTAGTGAGGGGAATAGGTACAGTCCGTTGTGATCAAGTCCTGTGGGAACACAAGACAGTGTGTTTCACTTTGGGGAAAGGGCAATAGTGAAGACATACTAATTGACCACTTACCACAGCAATTACACGATTTGATATGTCAGCTTAATTCTCAAGTCCTTAGGAAGTAGTTGCTGCTGTTATTCCTGCTTTGGGAAGGAGAACCAAGGTCTAAAGAGAGTAAGTGACTTGCCCAAGGTCATACAGCTGGTAGGAAGTGCTGTCACATGCAGCAGTCTGATTCTAGGGTGTTCTTAGCACCATGCTGTCACCAAAATGAACTAAATATTGTTAAATATTGTAGACTCTTGCGGGAAAGAAGCAAGACCTGCCAGCAGACGGGATAGCTTTTGTAGGTAATGTGATTCCTCTTGGAGTGCCTGTTTTTACCAGATAGAGTGTAAGTGCATCATGGTAAAGATTCCATGTGGTGGAAAGTGCTAGGGATTTTATCTATCTATTTATTTATTTATTTATTTTAAGATTTATTGTATTTTTATTGCAAAGTCAGACAGAGAGGAGGAGAGATAGAGAGGAAGATCTTCCATCCGATGATTCACTCCCCACCGCAACAGCTAGTGATGCGCCGATCCGAAGCCAGGAGCCTCTTCCGGGTCTCCCACATGGGTACAGGGTCCAAAGGCTTTGGGCCGTCCTTGACTGCTTTCCCAGGCCACAAGCAGGGAGCTGGATGGGAAGGGAAATGGGGCTGCCAGGATACAAACCACTGCCCATATGGGATCCTGGTGTGTTCAAGGTGAGGACTTTAACTGCTAGGCCACTCCACCGAGACCATTTTTTTTTAAAGATTTATTTATTTTTATTACAAAGTCAGATATACAGAGAGGAGGAGAGAGAGAAGAAGTGCTAGGGATTTAAAGCTGGGAAAGACAGGAGCAATGGAAATAATATGATAGATTTTGCTGGCTTGGAGAATGGATTGATATACCTCAGCCAGTGAAGAAGCCAGTTAATAGGTTATATTGACAGTTCAGGTGAAAAATGAAGATAGAACTAAAACAGTGGAAGAGGGAATAAAAGGAGGAACATGTTAAAGCAAGGTTTAGGAGATAGCATTGATAGGGTCTACTGACTGAGTAAGTGCTGGGCTGGGCAGGGGAGGAAGAAAAAACACAAACCACAAAGGAAAACAGCAGGGGTTGGGGGAAGATAATAAGATGGTTGGTTATAATTATTATTTTTAAGAACAGGTTTGTTTATTTGTTTGAAAGAGATAGAGATTTTCCTGTCTGCTAGTTCAATCCCCAAATAGCTGTAAGCCAGGGCTGGGCTAGGACAAATCTAGGAGCGAAGAACTCTGTCCTCATTTCCCATGTGAGAGGCAGGGGGTCCAATCAGTTGGGCCATCCTCCTCTGCCTTCTCAGGTGTGTTAACAGGCAGTTGGATAGGAAGCAACGTAGCTGGAATTCAAACTGGCACACATGGATGTATGCTGGTTTTGCTGGTGGTACCTTTAAAGATTTATGTATATACTCATTTGGAAGAGTATGGAGTATTGCCTAGAGCAATGGCTCAGTGGTTAAATCCTCACCTTACATGCACAGGGATCCCATATGGGCACTTGTTCCTGTCCTCCTTGCTTCATTTCCCATCAAGATCCCTGCTTGTGGCTGGGAAAGCAGTCAAGGATGGTCCAAAGCTTTGGGATCCTGCACCCATGTGAGAAACCCGAAAGAAGCTCCTGGATCCATCTTCAGATCAGCTCAGCTCTGGATTTTGCACTCGGGGAGTAAACCAGCGGATGGAAGAGTTTTTTCTCTCTGTCTCCTTACCCCTGTAAATCTGACTTTCCAATAAAAATAAATCTTGAAAGAGAGCAAAGAAAGAATTTCAGAAATAGAGAAAGAAAGCAGAGAGGTCAAGCATCCATCTGTTGGTTTCCTCCTTAAAGCCAGGAGTCCAGGTACTTGGGCATTTGGCTTTCCAAGGAGCTTTAGGAAGCTGGATTGGAAGCAGGATAGCTGAGATTTTCAAAAGCACCCTGATATGGAATGCCAGCATTGTGTAAATGGTGATTTAGCCTGCTATATCATACATTGGCCCCTAGAGTCATTCATTGAGTAGTATCTTTCTTAGTGCTTAACATATATAATGTATTTAACCGTATTTAAGGGGGCCTGCACTGTGGCGCCAACATCCAATATGGGCACCAGTTCAAGTCCACGCTGCTTCATTTCTGATCCAGCTTTCTTCTAATGTGCCTAGGACCTAAGCAATCTAAGTGCTTGAGCCTTTGCACCCACTTGGGAAACCCAGAAAAAGCTGAATCGGACCACCCCAGCTCCAGCTTTTGTGGCCGTTTGGGAATGAATGAAACAGCAAATAAGAGATCTCTCTGTCTATATTTTTCTGTAACTGTGTCTTTCAAGGAAATAAATCTCTAAAGGAAAAAAAAAACCCACATTTAATAGTTTCATTATTTATTCCAAAACTTAAAGAAGTAGTTAAAATTATTACTCAACTTCCTTTTTTAAACATTTATTTTTATTGGAAAGTCAGATATACAGAGAGGAGGAGAGACAGAGAGGAAGATCTTCCGTCCAATGATTCATTCCCCAAGTGAGCGCAACGGCCAGTGCTGTGCTGATCTGGAGCAAGGAACCAGGAACTTCCTCTGGGTCTCGCACATGGGTGCAGGGTCCCAAAGCATTGGGCTGTCCTCGACTGCTTTCCCAGCCACAAGCAGGGAGCTGGATGGGAAGTGAGGCTGCCAGGGTTAAAACTGGTGCCCATATGAGATCCAGGTGCTTCAAGGCGAGGACTTGAGCCACGAAGCTACTGTGCCTGGCCCTATTACTTAATTTCTTAAAGGATAACTTATTTATTCCAAAAGAAGAGTTCAAAGGAGTTAGAGAAGCAGAGAGATTCTTTTGCTGGTTTCACTTTCCAAATGGCCAGGGCTGTGTCAGGTCAAAGCCAAGGATTCTGGAATTCCATTTAGGTCTCCCACATGGGTAGCAGGTGCCCAGGCACTCGAACCGTCACTGCTGGTTTCCCAGGCACAATAGCAGTGAGCTGGATTGGAAGTAAAGCAATTGAGATTCTGTAGCTAGTGCCACTATGGATGCCGGCCTCACAGGCAATCTTAGTGTGCTACTCCAAAATGCTAACACCTAAATATTAATGTTATTTTAATTGCCCTAAATGGTGGCCATATTCCTTAACTATAGAACACAAGAACTTTTTTTTTTTGTTTTTATTCTAAAGATTTATTTTCATTGGAAAGGTAAATTTACAGGGAGAAGGTGAGACAGAAAGATCTTTTGTCTGCTAATTCGCCCTACAAGTGGCCAAAACAATCAAGACTGAGCCAATCTGAAGCAAGGAACCAAGACCTGCTTCTGCATCTCTAAGGTGGGCGCAGGGTCCCAAGGCTTTGGGTTGTCCTCTATTGCTTTCCCAGGCCACAAGCAGGGAGCTGAACGGGAAGTGGAGCAGCCAGAATTTTTTGCTGCTTGCTCTTATACGTTAGTAAGAAGTAGCTGGGAGGGCCCGGCGGCGTGGTCTAGTAGCTAAAGTCCTCACCTTGAACACGCCGGGATCCCATATGGGCGCCGGTTCTAATCCTGGCAGCTCCACTTCCCATCCAGCTCCCTGCTTATGGCTGGGAAAGCAGTCAAAGATGGCCCAAAGCCTTGGGACCTTGCACTCATGTGGGAGACCTGGAGGAAGCTCCTTGTCTCCTGGCTTTGGTGCAGATCAGCTCCGGCCATTGCAGCCGCTTGGGGAGTCAATTAGTGAACAGAAGATCTTCCTCTCTGTCTCTCCTCCTCTCTGTATATCTGACTTTGTAATAAAAATAAAATAAATCTTTAAAAAACAAAAAAAAAGAAATAGGTGGGAAATGGAGTAGCCATGACTCAACCTAGTATAAGCACTCCAACATAAAGAGGATTTAACCTACTGTGCCACAACTCCAGCCCCTGGAAAATAGTGGTTTTATTGGTCATTAATGAATAGTGATTTACTTAGTTACTTACACAGGATAGAATATTATACAGAATAAAAATTATAGTTAACTTTACTCAAAGTATCTGCCACAAAATTTGTGTAAATCAAATTGAACACTTTTTGAACTTACAATTACTTTTTTATTGTCTTTTTGTCTGGGAAAATGAATTTATATAAAAGCACACACGGAACTTTGATTGGAATATTTCTTTCTTTTTCCAGCTTAAAGCAATAAATGTAGATCTTCAAAGTGATGCCGCCCTGCAGGTTGACATTTCCGATGCCCTTAGTGAGAGAGACAAAGTAAAATTCACAGTGCACACAAAGGTAAATCTGGTTTTTGCATTTTAGCTGTTGATTGTGCTAATGGAATATGCAACCACATATCGAATGGAACCTAGTTTTGAACAAAGTGGAAAAAGAAACTATTTTAGTTTATAATTCACTATTATTTTTAACAAATATGTGTTCTTAAGATTTATTTATTTTTATTGCAAAGTCAAATAAACAAAGAGGAGGAGAGACAGAGGAAGATCTGTCTAATGGTTCACTCCCCAAATGGCCGTAACGGCTGGAGCTGAGCGCATCCGAAGCCAGGAACCAGGAACTTCCTCCGGGTCTCCAACAAAGGTGCATGGTCCCAAAGCTTTGGGCTGTGCTTGACTGCTTTCCCAGGCCATAAGCAGAGAGCTGGATGGGAAGTGGAACTGTCAGGATTAGAACTGGCACCCATATGCATGCAAGGCAAGGATTTCAGCTACCAAGCTACTATGCCAGGCCCTTTAACAAATATGTTTTAGGCAACTTCACTTTCTTTTTTTTAATTAATGTTTTAGTAATTCACAGGGCCTAGCATAATATAAAATCGACTCTCTAGATTTTTGGTACATGACTTAGTATAACTTCTTTATAAAATTTTACTTATTTTTATTGGAAGGGGAGAGAGAGAATGCCAGGAGGCAGAGCAGCCAGGACTTGAACCAGTACGTGTATGAGATGGGAGGAGGATTAGCTTGCTAATCACTGCCCTGGCTCCAATAGGATAACTTTTTAGTACTTGAAGTACAATCTGATAAATGCTTGTCAACTTGGTTTCCCAAAGATCTGAGGATTATTTTGTTTATATATCTCAGGGTTTTATATTAAAGACACTGATAGTCTTTCAGTTAAGATTAATTTTTTAGAACCTGATATAATATGCTTATTAAAAACTTCTTATTGTAATTCTGACTTACATGAATGTCTTTGCAGAGTTCGTTGCCAAATTTTAAACAGAATGAGTTTTCTGTTGTTCGACAACATGAGGAATTTATTTGGCTTCATGATTCCTTCGTTGAAAATGAAGACTATGCAGGTTACATAGTAAGTATTGAGATTTCATTTTAATCTAATTTTGTGGAGTGTTGAAATCTTTGCGCATATTTGAAAAATGACTTATTTTTATTTGAATATCAGAGCTACACAGAAAGAAGGAATGACAGAGAGTTGTTCTATCTTTTGGTTCGTTCCCCAGATGGCTGCAACAGCCAGAGCTGAGCTAAAGCCAGGAGTTTCCTTTGGATCTCCCTTGTGGATGCAGGGTCCCAAGGCTTTGGGCCATCCTCGACTGCTTTCCCAGACCACAAGCAGGGAGCTGGATGGGAAGCGAGGCTGCCAAGACACAAACCTGCACCCATGTGGGACTTTAGGCATTAGATTATTGCGCTGAACCCCAAAATAACTAAATCTTTTTAAAAATGGTGACATTAAAAAGTACTTTTAAAATATTTTGGGGCCCGGCGCGGTGGCGCAAGTGGTTAAAGGTCCTCGCCTTGCACGCCCGGGATCCCATATGGGCGCCGGTTCTAATCCCGGCAGCCCTGCTTCCCTTCCAGCTCCCTGCCTGTGGCCTGGGAAAGCAGTCGAGGACGGCCCAAAGCTTTGGGACCCTGCACCCGCGTGGGAGACCCGGAGGAGGCTCCTGGCTTCGGATCGGCATAGGCTCCTGGCTTCGGATCGGCATAGTATCGGCCCGTTGCGCTCACTTGGGGAATGAATCATCGGACGGAAGATCTTCCTCTCTGTCTCTCCTCTCTGTATATCCGCCTTTCCAATGAAAAAATAATAAAAATAAATCTTTAAAATATTTTGGGGGCCCGGTGGCATGGCCTAGCCGCTAAAATCCTCGCCTTGAATGCACCGGGATCCCATGTGGGCGCTGGTTCTGATCCCAGCAGCTCCACTTCCCATCCAGCTCCCTGCGTGTGGCCTGCGAGGGCAGTCTAGGATGGCCCAAATCCTTGGGACCCTGCGCCCACGTGGGAGACCTGGAGGAGGTTCTTAGCCCTTGCGGTCACTTGGGGAGTGAATCATCAGACCGAAGATCTTCCTCTCTGTCTCTCCTCCTCTCTGTATGTCTGACTTTGTAATAAAAATAAAATAAATCTTTTTTAAAAAAAATTGGCTATCACCTTTTATCCTAATTTGTCAAATTTCAGACTGGATATTTTGTGTTCTCATTTAAACTTTAAAAAACTTTAAAAATGATTTATTTGAAAGACAGAACTATAGAGAGAGGAGGGGAGGGAGAGAAGAGACAGATTGTGTATCTGCTGGTTCACTCCCCAAATGGTCACAGTGGCTGGAGATGGGCTGATCCAATGCCAGGAGCCAGGAGCTTCTGGATGGATCTGCCACGTGAGTGCAGCGAGCCAAGTGTTTGGGCCATTTTCTGCTACTTTCCTAGACACATTAGCAGGGAGCTGAATCACAAATGGAGCTTTCAGCACCAATATAGGATGTAAGCACTGGTTGTGGTTTTACCTGCTAAGCCACAATGCCAGCCTCATTAAACTTAATTTCAACTCTTTGAATTAAACAGGCTTGTTCTAAGAGATTAAAGATCTTGAGAGGATATCTAATATGAATATGTATCAGGTCATATAATTATGAGATGATTATTCTGCATCATCAGTTAGTCATGCTCAGGTTTCTAAAATTTAAATTGGCTTGGTTTCCTTGAAATAATTTTGTTTCCATCCTTTGTGGGTGCCTATTCCTTTTTCAGTTATTTGTTTCTCTTCTTCCTTTTCTTTCTGTTGTGTTCTGTTCCTTATCTTTTATTTCTTAGATTTATTTTCTTACTTGAAAGCCAAAGTTAGAGAAGACACAGGAAGAGCCTCACCTGCTGGCTCCTTCCTCACTGGCCAGGACTGGGCCAGCCAAAGCCAGGACCCAGTGGCAGGGACCCAAGCACCTGGGCCATCTTCTGCTACTTTGTCAGATGCAGAGAACTAGATTAGTAGTTGAATCAGTGGGACCTTGAATTGACACTTCACTGAGATACTGGCATCAGAGGCTGTGGCTTAATGTGCAGTGCCACAATAGTGACTACTTTTTCTGTAATTCAGATTTTGGTGAGCAATCAGTACTGTGTTCTTTCCCCATTCTGTTTCTACCTTTTTTCCCCCAACCTTATCTTGTAACACTTTGTTACTACGTTGTTTTTCTGTGGGTTAAGGACTCCCCAAAAACCAGAATTGATTCTGTGTATCTTTGTCCAGTGTTTATAGAGTTATGCCTAAGCAGACTTATTAGATGTTCAACAAATATGTACTAAACAGTATTTGATCATTTCTGACACTGTTTCTTTACTTGCTGTAACCTTTTTCTTTTAGTTGTTCTTTCTGTAACTTTTTCCCTTTTACTGCAGTGATCTCTTATAACTTTCCATTACTTCCCTCTTTGTAGTTCTAGCTGTAGGCCTTTCCTTCTTGGATAATTTTTTCTTATTTCCTGCCTTTGAAGTATTTCTTCTAGATCTTTTATTTTTACTTAAGGTAAGTCATTGTTTACTCCTTGACTATGAATGAATAAAATGAAGCTATCCGTTAGTTTGTGTCTTACTCTTCTATGTTTTAGTTTAAAGTTTTGCCTATTTAAATTTGGGAGACAGAGTCAGTTCCCTTTGCTAACTCACTTCGCAGATGTCCGCAACAGTCAGGATTGGAAGGCAGGGCTAAAGCTTGGAGTTCTGAACTCAGCCCAGGTTTCTCTGTGAGTGAGAATGACTTGCTGTTCGAACCATCAGCCCCTGCTTCCCTGGGTGCATTAGTAGGAAACTGATAGAGAAGTGGAGTAGGAACTAAAACCCAGGCATTCTGGTATAGGGATGCAGGTGTTCTAACCACTAAGCCAAACATCTGCTCCATTCTCTCTCTCTCTCTCTCTTTTTTTAAATGTATTCTTGTTGGAAACTCAGATACACAGAGAGGAAGAGAGACAGAGAGAAATATTTTCCATCCACTGATTTACTCCCTAAGTGGCTGCATCAACCAGAGCAAAGCCAGTCTGAAGTCAGTAGTCAGGAACCTCTTTCGGGTCTCCCATGCGGATACAGAGTCCCAAGGCTTTGGGCTGTTCTCGACTATTCTCCCAGACCACAAGCAGGGAGCAGCTGGATGGGAAACAGGGCAGTCAGGACATGAACCAGCACCCATATGGGATCCCGGTGCATACAAGGCTAGGACTTCAGTCACTAGGCTACCGTGCCAGGCCCTCTTTATAAAAAATGATTTATTTGATTGAGAACACACTGATGTAGAGATTGATCTTCTATCTGCTGGTTCACTCCCCAAATGACTGCCACAGTCAGAGCTTGTCCAGGCCAAAACCAGGATCCAGGAACTCAGTCCTGGTCTCCTGTATGAAAAACAGGGGCCTAACTACTTGAGTAGTTCTCTACTGCCTTCCCAGGTACATTAGTGGGAAAATGGGCCAGAGGCAGAGCTGCCAGGACTTTAAACTGTCGCTGCAATATAGCATGCCACCACTGTTTGACAACCAGCTATTTAACTTGCTGAGCCACAATGCTGGTGCTGTTGTTTTTAAAGCATTTCTTGCTTCTGATACAGTCCTCTAATCCAGAGCCCTTTTTTAGCTCTCTTTTTTTGGGTCTTCTGATTACTAGTTATTATTAAAAAAAATAAATAACATAAATTTACTGTGTTGAAACTTAAAGTTAGGCTGGCAGTCAGAAGCCTGCATCCCATTTGAGTTCCTGGATTCCATTTCTGGCTGCAGCTTCCTGTCAGTGCAGACCCCGGGAGGAAGCATTGATGACCCAGGTAATTGGGTGGCTGCCACCCAGAGGGAAGACCTGGATTGCATTCCCAGCACCTTCTCCAGCCCAGTACCAGCTGTAATGGTCATTGGGGGAGTGAACCAGCTGATGTGTTACGTCTATCTGCCTCTCAGGCACGTTTAAAACGCTATTGTGACTATAATTTAAAAATATATATTAGCATTTAAACATATCGTTTACATCCTTTGGAAAGTGGCATACATATTTGTTATACATGCTAGTAGTCAGAGCTGGGGCACATTGAAATTTGAGTACTCTGGGTTGCCATGTAGGAAACTGCAGAATGAATTTTGAGAACTATTCTACCCCAGGAAGTAATGGCATTTCTTCTGTATTTCTTCCAGTGCTATATTTCTACCTTAGTTTTAATTCCTGGGATTAGTTACATTCTCTCATGTGAAGTTAGATTTCCCTAGTGCCTTGTACAGTCAGAATTCATTGAACTTTTCCATCTGGTGGTGACAGTCAAACATGCTGCTAGGAATAAATGTCCCTTAAAATTAGTGATTTGTTCTGTTGCAGATCCCACCAGCACCACCGAGACCTGATTTTGATGCTTCACGGGAAAAACTGCAGAAACTTGGAGAAGGAGAAGGGTCAATGACAAAGGAAGAATTCACAAAGATGAAGCAAGAACTGGAAGCGTAAGTGATCTTGTTCTGTTTGTTAATTGTGCTTGTTTTAGTGCCTTTTTGTATGCTCTCTGATATTCCATTCTTTTAACCACTTTAGCCTAGTGACCTCACAGAATGCAGGTTTAAGTCACACAGCCAGTGTTGATGACCATGATCAGAGCCTACGTGAAAATTATAGAATGAATAATTGTCTTCATAGTTAAATTCTTTACTATTTAAACGAACAGTGAAAATTGAAAACAGGGGATCTAAAAGCTCATAAAAACTAAAAAGGAACATAACATTTAAAAAAAAAGTGCGGACTGATTTTTTTTTTTGATAACTTATAAGACCTTAATTATTCTTAGCCTATTTTTATCTTTTAAGCATACTTTGGAAACTTCTGTTTCTCATAGACTATGCTATAGAATAAATGTATGTAAATATACATAGTTAGTTTTTTAAATTGTGGGAACAAGCATTGGTGCAGCCATTTAGATGCTGCTTGGGTTAAACACATACCTTACCGTATCAGAATGCCTGGTTCAAGTCCTGGCCACTCTGTCTTTGATCCATCTTGCTGCTCATGGACACCCTGGGAAGAAGCAGTAACAGCTTGAGTATGGAAATCCGTGCTACTAACCCAGGAGACATGGGTGGAGTCTTGCCTCTTGCCTTCAGCCTGGCCTTGTCCTAGCTGTTGGGGCATTGAGGGAGTGATCCAACAAATACATCTATGTCTTTCTCTGTCTCTGTCTCTCTGCCTTTTAAATGAAATGAAAATAAATAAAATTGCTAAAATGATAGTTATGTGTAAAAGATAACAGTAAAAAAAGAAAAAAGTCATATGTGGGGAAAAAAATATCAGATGTATGCAATATAGTTCCCTACCCTCCCCCAATAATTGTTTCCTCTTTCTATGGCCTCTAGCCCAGAACAGGAGCAAAGTAACTAGAGAATATTAACAATTTTCATGACTGTTTCATATATACTAGAAATATATCCAGTCTTCAAAAACTTGTGATAATTTATTTTTCAAGTTAAGCACAGTGAAAAACAATCTTTCCCCTTTTATTAACTTTCAAGTTATTTCAGATTCTCTGTATATTGCTTCTCTTAATTTTGAGAGTTATATAAAAACATAAATTTTCCTTTCATTATCATCACTTCCATGCTCTTTTTCTAATTACTTCTCTCCTTAGTGTATTTCCTTTTCTTCTCCCACATAGTTTGTTTTCAAGCATAATTACACTATCAGACTCCTCTTCAGACTTCTAAACATAAGACTGTAATTTCAAAGTAGATTTTCTTTGTTGCAATATAATAAGATATTTCAGAAATCCTATCGGTGTCAAATAGAGCACTAGTTTGATAGCAAGTAGATATGTTCTTAAAGTTTATAAGGCTGAAAACTGGAAATTAGCAGAGCACATTATTATTGAGGAGTCTATGATTTTCTAGTGGCCCTGATCATGGTTCTTTTGTGGTCTGGTTAGGGGTTGGATAACAGAGAACGTTGGGTTTATGCTACTACCTCCATCCTCTGCATCCTTCTTTTTTGTCTTCACTGAATGACTACCCTCACAGAGATCAAACTGCTCCCAACGTTGGTCCTGCTGGTTTGCTGGTATGTACAATTTATCCCTCCTGCCACATAGTTGAAGCAAGAATATTGAGCCTTTTCTTTGAGTGTTTGTTTTTGTTTTTTTTTTTTTTCAGATCTGCAGGTATTACTGTGTGGTTGCTGAGATTCTGAATATTGATATCATAAAAAATCCTTTAAACAAATTTTTTCAGGGCAGTGCCAAAAATGAGTTTCTTTACGGTGTGTATCCTGTGTGTTTGGGCTACTAGATGGAAATAATTAATGTGAAAATATATTTCCTGAAAATTAGATTTGTATTAAGGTGTTAAAAAGTAGAAATTGAATCATAATGTTGTATAAAATAATTTGTAGTACTTTTTTCTGGAGCTGTGAAAACAAGCATCCCTATACTTTCTTCTATTAACTCGTGTAATAAGAGAGATTATGAAGCACTAATGTTTGGATATAATCAGTACTGTTAACTAGCATGCAATCCTTTTCAGAGCTGGATCTTAACACATTTTGTTAACAGTTCAGCTGAAATGTCTCCAGGTTGCATTTAGAATAAACCAGAGAGTGTTAGAAAAATGTTTGTAGATGACTTTAATTGGTATGGTTTTTTAATGTTTAATTTTGTGCATTGCTTCTAGTGAATATTTGGCAATATTTAAGAAGACAGTTGCAATGCATGAAGTGTTCCTATGTCGGGTGGCAGCACATCCTATTCTGAGAAAAGATTTAAATTTCCATGTCTTCTTGGAATATAATCAAGATGTGAGTATCAAATTGATGAGAACAGTAATCAAGTTTGTAGTTATATGAAAAGACAAGGAGTAGTTAGAAACAAATTAGGTCTTTTTAAGAATATTTATCCATGGGGTGGGAATGGACCCTCTGGATTGGATTGTAAAATCCAAAACAATAAGGGCCAAAAGATTCCTTGAGAGGAGAGAACTGAATCTTAATCAAAATGTTAAAAATGCCATGCTGATTAAAGGGAGAAATGCAAATGGAACAGTAGCACAAGTCCTTAGAGACATGTATGCACTACAAAAGCCATATGGAGTGCTGTCTAAAAAGAAAAATATTACAAGACCATTTGAGGATCAAACATCATTGAGTTACAGAGAGAAAGGAGAGGAACCAAGTGAGGTCTTTTCATCTGCTCCTTCACTCCCTAAGTGGCTCCAAAGCTGAACTGATCCAAAACCGGGAGCCAGGAACTTCTTCTGGGTCTCCTATGTGGGTGCAGGGGCCCAAGAATTTGAACCATCTGTAAATAAGAGAGCTGTATGGGAAATGGAGCAGCTGGGACATGAACTGGTGCCCGTATGGAATGCTGATGCTGAGAGCAGAGGCTTAGCCTATTACACCGTGATGTGGATCTCTAAACACTTCTTTCTTCCTTTCTTTTTTTATTTCTTTCTTCCTTTCTTCCTTCCTTCCTTCCTTCCTTCCTTCCTTCCTTTCTTCCTTTCTTCCTTTCTTTCTTTCTCTAAACACTTACTTCTTTCTTATAAAGTTATATTATGTCAAACATAGTAACATTGTAACATGTCAAACATTCAGTCTCTACAAAATTATTTTTTCTTATCAAGGGGGTTAAGAGTGATGCATTTTCAGTAATATTTTGGTAGAATTTAAGGACATTAATTGAAAATTCAGGGAATTTATGTTATAAATTGAGCATTTGTAATCCTAATATGAGAATCAGAAATTAAAGCTTTTTTAGTTCAACATGATTGTGCTCAAAATGTTCCAGATTTTAGATTCCAGATTAGGGATACTTAACCAATAAGTCTGTGCAAATATTTCCATATCTGAAAAAACCTCAAAATCTAAAAGCACTTGTGGTCTCACACACTTGGAATAAGGACTACTCAACCTTTACTATGTAGGACGTTGATTTTTTAAATACTGAATTGTGATTAATAGAAGGAGGGCTATCAAATTCATTAATGTTTCTTAAATTTGAGTTTCAAGTCTTGAAACATTATGTAGAATTCCCAGAATATGCATGAGCTGAAGAATTCAGAGGTTGGGGGACAATGTTGTGTCAAAATAGATTATTAAGTTGCCAGCTGCAACAATATTCCATATAGATACTGGTTCCAGTCCTTGCTGCTTCTCTTCCAAACTTGTTCCCTGCTAATGTGTCTAAGAAAGCAGTGAAAGTCAGCCCAATTCCTTGGATAAAGTTGCTGGCCTCTGGCTTCAACCTGGCCATTGTGCTTTTGAGTCACAAACCCACACCATACACCATGAAACTCACAGATTTATTGTCAGTAGCCAGGGTCCACACAGGGTTTTCTCTCAAAGCGAAGGAGAGCAGCAGCCCACTGGTAGAGGATGAAATCCACATGAAAGCAGTTAAATCTTTTAGTTTAGATAAAGGGCTTGATTAATCAGGAGCAAGAAAGTCTGACAGACTGCTCCCTAGTGGGAGACAGCCCAGGACCACTTCCACATGGCTTGGTGACCCTGTGAGGGGGAAAGATAGCAGCTCTTCAGTTTGTGCATGCTTGTGACGTCATGGTGGGTGTAGATGTTCAGCATTCCAAACATTTCTGGATGGGAGTGTCTGCTTGACCTTGTCAAAGGTAGCATTGAGGCTAGAGAAGCTCTCTTCTGTTGTTTGTGGCAGGAGGAGGGCAGGAAGGAGACAACACCAGGACTCAGTCGGCTGCTTGGTGTTGCAAGGTTACCAGGAGTTCCTGGCCTGTGATAAACTTCCTTGTCTTCTGATGCACTCAGCTCCTTCAGGAATCATTTCTGCTTGGCCCAACAGTGGTCATCTAAGAAGTGGCTAGAGGATTCTCTCTAAGATTTATTTGTTTTTATTTTGGAAAGTCAGATTTACAGAGGGAAGGAGAGACAGAAAGATCTTCCATCCATTGGTTCACGCCCCAGGTGGCCACAGCTGTCAGAGATTTTGGCCGCTAGGCTACCACACCTGGCCCCTCTCTGTAACTCTCTCAAATGAATAAAATAAATGTTTGGGGAAAAAAGATTTCAAGGTTACTTAGGGTTAAATCTGACTTTTAAGTGTTTTGTTTTGAGTTACAGAGAGAGAAAGGGAGGGATAGCATAATTCCCTGTGCTGGTTCATGCACCAGGAAAAGCTGAAGCCAAGAGCCAGAAGCTTCATCCGGGTCCGCCATGTGGGTGGCAGGGATCCAGACACTGGAGCCATCCTCTGATGCTCTTCCAGGCCATTAGCAGGAAGCTGGATCACAAGTGGGGCAGTTGGGACAGGAACGGGTCCCTATATGGGATGCTGGCATTATGGGCAGCAGCTTTGCTGGAGAAACCACAACCCATCATGCTGGCCACACATCACTGACTTTTGGTCAGCATAACTGACCTGCAGATTGCTAATTATCGTTCCTGCCTAAAAACTGTCACCTTGCAAAAAGATTAAGGTGATTGAACTTTAGTGATTTCTTTGTAGTGCTGGGAAAAAAAATGTGGAAGGCTGATCCAGATGTTGAAGCCTGTATTGATAACAAGAGTAATTAATAATTTTAGACAAAAATAAGTATAGCATAGCAGCTCCCTCCCTTCCCCACCGACCACACACAGGAGGAAACAAAATTTAGAACTGAAATGTTTGTTTCACCCACTTTCCTAAACCTGCTCCACCATAATTGAAGGTCCACATGGGCATACATTTGTCTCAAGACATAGAGCATTTCTGTTTTTTACATTTTTTTTAAAGATTGATTTATTTTTATTTGAAAGACAGATTTACAGAGAGGAGGAGAGACACAGACATCTTCCATCCGCTGGCTCACTCCCTTAATGGTCACAGTGGCTGGAGCTGAGCTGATCTGAAGCCAAGAGCTTCCTCAGGGTCTCCTCATGGGTGCTGGGGCCCAAAGCCTTGGGTCATTGTCCACTACTTTCCTAGGCACATCAGTAGGGAACTGGATTAGAAATGGAACAGCCAGTACTGGAACTAGTTCCTATATAGGGGATTGATACCACATGTGGAGGATTAGCCTGCTTTGTCACTGTGCTGGCTTCTACTTCGTCTCTAAGTCTGATTTTTGCTTACAGCCTGGGCTAAAACCTTAGCAATGATTTTGATGGTACAACATAAGCATGTAGTGGGGCATGATACCATCAGTACAAGGTCACTTGGACTCAAGTTGCTTCATCAGGTTCTCTGCCCTATTGCCACAGACATTATTATTTGAAATTGTACAGACATCTGTTTTTTAAAAAATTTGTTTAGAGACCAATGTTGTGGCTGCTACATGATGCCTGCATTCTGTACGTAACAGCTAGTCCTGGCTGCTCTACTTCTTATTTATTTATTTAGAAAAATCTATTTATTTATTTATTTGAACATCAGAGGTACAGAGAGAGAGGAGAGACAACGAAAAAGATCTTCCATGTGTTGATTCATTCCCCAAATGGCCAAAAGGTCAGACCTGAGATGATCCAAAGCCAGAAGCCCAGAGCTTCTTCCAAGCTCCAAGGCTCCTGTATGAATGCAGATCCCCAAGGATTTGGGCTAGTACTTGAGCCTGCACACATATGGAATACTGGTGCAGCAGGCAGTGAACCTCTTTTTCTTTTTTATGTTTTTTGACTCACTCATTGATCTAGATCCTTAATCACCAACTTTTACTTCTTGCTCATACAGTATCTAGTACCTTCTCTATTATTCCTATCAAACTTAAATCTTTAGAGTCTTCCATTTTTTGTAAAAGCTAGTTTCAGCTCAGAACAGTTCATCTAGGTTAGATGACCGCCTTCACAGGGAAATGGCACCCAATCAGAAATCAAATTGTTAAACTTTCCTTCTGTAATCTCTGCAATACTCAGCTGCCTTAGGAGCCACGTCTGTCAACTTTCAGATTTTTGTTTTTGCTTTTATTCTTTTCCCAGTCTGGTTGCTTCTCATTGCTTTTTCTTGTGTAACTGCCCTATCTACAAAAGTTCTTTTTGTTTTTTTACCTTAAGGGAGATAATGTTTATTATTACATCATTGAGTATGATGTTAGTTACAAGTTTTTGGCAGATGTTCTTTATGAAGATATTTCCTTGTATTCCTAATTTGTTAGTGTACTTACCATGAAAAGTAGATTTTTAAACATTTTTAATTGTTTTACGTAGTGAGAGGGACAAAGTCCTTGTGGGTCTCTAATTAGGGTAGGGAGAAAGGTGGATAGCACAAATGTTCCAACTTTTTCTCTTGTGTCCACAGAAGGAGAAGGGGTGGGAGGCACTCCTTGCTGTCAAACTATATCTGGAGATAGGGGCTGGTTCTTTGATGATACCTTAGAGACCCTGATGTGGGAAAGAGTGTTCTAAGAGTATTACTTGAGTGGTTTTAATAGTTCTGAGTCATCATGGTTTCATTGCACTGGGGTTGAGAAAATCTTTCCAAGGTCTATTGGCTAACCAGGTCCAGGAACATGGTGCAAAACTTGGCCAGGAGAGTAGTCCAATTCCTTTTGCTTTTCATCTTCTGACATGGCACTTGATGTCCTCTACTGACCTAGATGAGCCAGTTATCATGTTCTCCCTATGCATCTGGGCATGCTATCCAGTGCACAAGCACCAGCAGCTGAGAAGGCCCAGTCCCAATACATGGACTTTAAGGTTGTACATATTTTGTGGTCTTCCTCTATGACTGCGTTTGAGTTAGTGGTCTAGTTGGAAAGTCCCCCAAGAAACCTTGCCAGGAGTGATTTCAGACTTGACTCTTGTGGGCGCCAGGTTCAGTTTGCCACTTGCACCAGCCAATATACATACCAGTGGAT